ACCAGATGACTTATGCAGGAATATTACAATAAATTGTCTCTGAAATTGTGGCATGCTGCTTTGGGGAAGGATCTCTTCAGTGTCCTCCCAGGAACAGAACTTTTGCTATTCTAAATTGCTCTAATTAGCTCTCTTCAGGGCCCTGTGGGTATAGCTATTAGATTTCCAACACAGCGACAACATTCTCCAGGCAACAAGAGTTACAAAATGTACCTTTCAAACCAGTTAGCAAAAGGCTATGGGAACTCAAAGAGTACTCTTTATAATCAGAGCAAGATGTATGACTCTCTATTTTCAGCCTAAGGAGAAACTAGGCAGAAAGTAGGTATTACACATTCTCTCCTGGGAGAGATTTCTTAAAATGTTTGCATTAAAAATTATAAATTCTGAGCATAGAGATTAACCATCTTTGAATTGCTCTAATTAAAAGAAAGTAAGGTTATCTCCCCCCAACACCCCAGCCTGCATTTCAGGATGCAAAATTTCTGGATTCAAGTAATGATTTAATCGTTATTGTCCTCTGTCTGAAATGGATCCAGGGCATAGCTGATACTCAGTCTTGATAATCCTTATAGAGGAAATTTTTTTCTTATTTTATACACAAGGATCAGTCCCTTAATTTTACACTAGACATGTTCCCACAATGGACTATGGAATACTATGGCTATGTGGTCTTATCTGTGATCTTTTCTAAAGGGCACAGGTACAAATAACAAGTTTGTCTTCACTGCTATATAGTTCAGTAATCATCTTACAGCTAAATTAACATTTTTTAATTTGATTTAGGTATTTCCTGGTAACTGGCCTGAAAGGTCATTGCTAGAATATTTACAAAGATTTTTTTTTTTTTTCCACTTGCTCCCACCATAGCTCAATATTTGACTCTGATTAGGATGACATATATCTGATTGGAGAAGTTACAAACCCCTTTTGCTTTTACCCTCAAAACATTAATAACACAGTTCATATCTGAAACACAAATGTAATGGCATTCTGTTTGTTGGCTGACTATCAATAGACAATATCTTAGCACTAGGAGACAGAACTAGCTTTTTCCTTTTTTTAGAAAACCAGAAATTACTTAATTTTTCATTTAACTTCTCAAACACAAATCTTGCATTCACAGCATTTTTCATCTCGAAGGATTACAAGCCTCTTTACTACAAGTGCAATGTTAGTAACAAAAAAAGAGACTTACCATTCAGTTGACATTTTGAATTTTCAAAATATCACATAAATTCCCTAGTGCTCTCTAAACAACTTTCTTGCAAGGTACTGAAGGATTACTAACCTTAATTTGTAGTTGTAGAAATGTGGAAATGAGGTTAAATAACTGCACAAGACCACAAAGTGAATCACTAGAGGAACCAGGAGTTATATCCAGACTACCTGATTCTATCACTAGTCCACAGAAATTAGAGGTTAAGAGTCACTTTTAAACACATCAAGTTGAAAAGCAGCAGCTGTTTAATGTTTTAGAATTCAGGATAAGCATTACTTATCATCCAACCATATTCAAATCTGCTATTTATGTGAAGAGCAGAAGACCGCTTGATATGGAGAGGACTGCTCAAGAACAAAACTATGCTTGTTACTGAACATCTGCGACTGCCAACCAGGTCAAGCAACAGATGCTGAATGCTCATTAGTTGAGTTTTAAAAAAAAACCAAACAACCCACTAGGTGACTCTACAATTAAAACAGAACAGACTGCAATAGTGTAAGTCAGAAAAAAGCATGAAAAAGTTTGGGTTTTTTTGTCAAAGCGGGACAGTACTTACAGCCAACATCGGTCATGATGCAAACAAGCTCCACGTAAACTTGCATGCTCTTATTTTGTGATGCAGTTGCTGTTTAATCTTGACCCATCAGCACCTGTGCTAGCTGTGGGTTTTTCTTGACAGCTGTTCAAGCTGAGAAAATCACAACAAAATTCATTTCCAGTGTGGAGTATCTTGAAAATTTGCTTGCAAAAGGCCTATGAACTGTCATTTGGGGTACATGGGTCCTAACACAAGAAGGAACTTGTTTCAGAAATCTTGAGTCCAATATATTTTACTTGCTTATTAATGAGACATGCTGGCAATGGGCTTTTCTCAGCCTTTTGTTACCACTTCCATGATTTTGTGATCAATCATTAATCAAGCACAACTTCCAGAGATGGTAGGCAGCAGAGAACAAAGAAAGGCTAAAATAGGAAGCTACATGCTAAGGGTGTCAGGGAAGAACAACAGACAAGAAAGATGAGACAGGCAGACTGCTTGTCTAGGTTTCGTAAGAAACCAATAATCTTTCCAGCAAACATTTTCAAAGCATCAGACCTAAAGATCCACTTAGGTTTTCTGTCTCATTTCTTCATGGCTTTCTGTGGGTATCATCCTTTATGGCTGTTCCTATTTGTCTCCATGTTCTCTCTGATCCTTCCTCAGCATTATCAGCATCTTTAACAGATTTCCTCAACTACTTCTTTATTTCCGAGGATGAAGCTTGGAATTTGTGACTTATCTACTTTCCAGAAGGCAGATACTGACAGCACTACAGCCACTCCATACATGGACAGCACATGGCATACACCCTTTTCCTTTGCTGTGTTCTGTATAGGCAGGCCATTGGACCGTAGCAGTGTCACATCACAAAACACCAATCACCAAAATATGAAAAACATGGACTGCAAAACCATTTGGTTCTTATTTTAGAGCTGATGCCTACTGTCACCCAAGAGTGTTTCCTGGTATGCTTCTACTCTTCCAAATCTTCTCAGAGGAGGAGAAATCCACATCCATGTAACTGTAAGAGACAGCGATGCTCCTTGAGATCTAACATTTGTCACGGTATGAGGCCGCTGGCCTCGTTACAGGATTTATCCTGCTTTCTGCAGAGACCATGAAGCAACACACCATAGACAAGCAAACCTGCCAAATAAAGGCCGTACGGAAAACTTAGTGCTCTCTGCCAAAGTTTGACTGAATTTAGCAAGGTCCTAATTTCTGCAGGATTCTCATGTGGCAAGCCAGAAACATCTTCTGCAGCTTATTTTTCAGTAATACTTTAATTACACACTTGAATGTAACATTTACTGAATTTGCATTATGGAATCTGCATCTTCTCTATCCTTCAGATTTTGTTTGAAAAGTGCACAAATGCATTCAAAAATCAGCTTAACAGCTGGTGTTCAGGCATCTGTGAATAACCTAGTACTCACTTTGAGACTGTACAATAAACGCATGACCTTGATTTTTTTTTAACAGGATAATGACAAACTAATTGACAACACTCCCAAAGTTAAAGTCATCCAGGTATCACCAAGCACGGTTTCCATAGCCTCCAGTTACCTGGGACACTTGCACAAGCAGGTTGCACAAGCAGGTGGCCAAACTTGGAAGCAATGGATTAGCAACATTATCCCTTTTAATGAAAACTGAAGATTTTCAATCACGGTTGTCCAGCAACAGTGTATACAGCAGTTACAGTGAGTGTGTAGAGACACGATGAAAACTCCTATGTAGAGGTTTGCAGACAAACTATTGACAGATGCTACAAGTTATTAACTGGTAACAGGGTTATTCAGCAGATTAAATAAAAAAGAGCTGCAATCTTCAAACTTTTCCAGTCACAACTTGCACAGGAAAGATGCCGACCATTAGTCTGGACCACCCACAACCACCAAACTGCCTCCAGCTTGAATTAACCAAGTTTTGACAGGAAAATGCCGGCGCCTGACCGTAGCCGGTGCCCCACTAAGTCCCGCAGGCTCCCGTTCCCAACTTTACGCTTTAACACCCCGCGGAGGGGCGGCAAGCGCCGGAGAGAACCCTCAGCCAAGACAAACACTGGCCCCCGGGCCTCCCGCACCAGA